GTTTGTAATTTTTTTAATAAGTATGTATTTTCTCATTCTTTGTTATGACTACAGACGCACCCATCTGGAATGTGCAAGTTGTCAGTAAGTATAAGCAAAAGGCACAGCTGTGTCACGGACTCCATAATTGTTCTATTTTTTTAAAAATCTGACGCAGGGCTGTTCTTCTTTGTAAAATGCCCAGGTATCACAGTGAATCCTTAAAGTAGCACAACTGCATGTTTTAAATGTTACAATTCAGAATTTCATTAAATATAATAATTACATTGTTGAGACAGAATGTTGCTACCACACCATCCTGTTGATTGAGACAGTACCATGATCCCACCACACCTTCAAATAAGATATGCAACAATACTGTATAACAATAAGATAATTCTCTTTTTTAATTATATACAGAATTATTTGTAATCATGGATAAATAATAATTAGGAAACAGATTTAAATTATAAAATTAAACATAGCTTTAAAACAATATAAAATATCAGATTTAAAAGCAAATAAACACATAAAAAGAATTATATAAATATACAGATGCAGCCATTCAAAGTGCGCAGTACAAACCCATACCATACGCAACTACCCACATCATATCGCGGTACGTGATTGGTTGGCCAAAATGACCGGCAGGGGGCACTCGTGGTGCATTGGTCAGTAGTGAAATGATTTAATCATTTAATCTCTTTACTGTGCATGTTTTAATCCACTTAGTATTGAATGTTTATATGAATAATTTAAAACTGCTACTGATATTATTACTGACAATAAATATTATAGACAATATATTGTCATTACAAACATGTCTGTATGTCGGCCATACGGCGTATGCGTTACTGAAGCTAAACGTTTAGCCTTTGTCACTAATGTAACCACTAAATAAAGACATAAATATAGAAATTCCTACATTACAAACTGTATGTGGCTGGTATTGGTATTTTAAAGAAAAAATACACACCAGTATTCCACTTTCTCCCTAAACATTTTAAGCATCAAAGTCTTACATGTGGTTATTTTGGAAACATTTTTACGTGCTCCTTCTGACCATATGAAGTTTATATTAAGTTTAAGTGCCCATGGGCACTTTTCCTGTCCATGGGAGGAAGGGGGACTGTCTTTCATGAGAAAGGTTCGCCTATTCTACTCTGAGAATGTAGAGGGGGAGGAAAAATGCCTGCTGTAATTAAATAAGTATTAAAATTTGCACTGTGATAAATTGTTGCACTTCCATGTCTTGTAAAAACATTAATTTGCAAGACTGTGTTCAAACATATGTTACATTTGACTATCAAAAAACCAGGGTTTAGTTTTTCTGTCTCTCCCTACTTTATATAACCCTCTGCGATTCGCAGAATGGTTAAAAAAATGGGAACATGGCAGGCAGCAAGAGGGAACGGGGGAGTGGGTGGAACTGTTACCTGGTAAGGCTTTCTGTGTTTCCCTTACAAAAGTATTGTAGCGGCAATGCTTGTTAATAAGACAGAATTAAGTGTTGGTATGCTTTCCTAAATGAGGCCCCATCTC